GGGGTGGAGGCTAGGGTTTCAAGAACCTTAGAAGATTTCGAAATTTTCCTCATTAGGGTTTAGTTTCTATAATATAAACTTTAAAGGATCTATGTTCTCACTATGATTTGCAAACAACTTTTGAATATCAAGAACCCTAAACGTATGTTGCTATTTTCGAAATTATCAAAGGGTTATAGAAATTACAAAACTTTTTTTTATAGTAAATAAACAATGATTCCTTCTTGATCTAGCTTTAGAAAGCAAGCACCAGAAATCGCGTGCCTCTGATGGTTCACACCCAAACCCTAGCAAGTTGGAGGATAAAGAGGAGAGAGGAGATGGAATGAGGATTTTCAGTTCTCACTCTTGTAGAAGGATGCACAAAATTTTGAACCCTTAGGAGGGTTTATATAGGTGAATAAGGGAACTAGGATAAGACAGGTTTCCTTATATAAGCCTTATCCCTTTTCCTTGCTCCTTAAGGACTCTTAGGCTTCCTTAATGCCTAAGAAAACCCCTAAAACCATCTATAACTTCGTCCCCCCTCCTAGGGAGGTTCTAGAATTTGTCAATTTTAAACTTCTGAACATTGTCACCTTTAGTCCTTCCACTTTTAATTAATCCAATTAATCCCAAAATTAATTCTAATTAATTTCTGATTAATTCTTAATTAAATAATATTATTTCTAATTAATATATTATTCTGATAATATATTAATAAATTATTTATTTTGATTTCTAGTTAATTTAATAATCATATAATAATTTAATAAATCAGTCTCTCTCTCTCTCTCTCTCTCTCTCTCCAAATAGCATTCTAGTCCATTACTAGGTTTGAGGGCAACCCAAAAGGACTTTGCTAATAATTCAAGATTATACTAATTTAGTTATTGTCTTAGAATCTAATCCAACATAGTTTGGTTATCATTTGGTGGAAGGATGCCTAGGGATTGTATGTAGTAACGTAGGATAGACTGAGGACTCTTGATCTAGGCCTTCTTGCATGTTCCTTGTTTGGTTGTGGCTCTAGAGTATGATTATCTGTCCGGGTGTCTATCTCACCTCTGGGTACATATGGTTATGTATCCCTTGGAGTATTGGTTATGTATCCTTGTGTGTAGGATGTTGTTGAGCTGTAGTGATCTGCTACATTTATATACATATCCTTGTGTGTTAGGATGCAGCAGTAGTGGTATGCTGGTTAGAGTACCAGTAGGTTGGTTATCATCTAAAGGAGTGCCCTAAGGGTTGTAAGTAGTCATGTAGGATAGCCTGAGAACTCTTGATCTAGGCTTTCTTTCCTGTTCCTTGTTTGGTTGTGGCTCTAGAGTAGGATCATCTATTCGGGTGGCTATCTCACCTTTGGTTACTTATGAATATGTATTCCATGGAGATTAGTTGCTAGCAGATCAGTATGTTATGAGAGGTCTAGTAGGCAGTAGTGAACTGTATGATTGGTATTTGCATGTATTATGTGCCTACTTAATCGTTGATTGTTTATATGTCGACATGTGGTCGTGGGTTAGGTTGAGGTGGTCCTACTGTGTGTTGTAGGCCAAGATACATGGTGCAAGCTGGTTGTAAGCTGTAGGCATGGAGGCTCGGGAAGAGCGGTTGGGTTGAGGCGACATGCCAACATACCTGGGGTAATCCAGTCCGATGATTGTGGACATAGTATGCATGCTTGTATATGTTTTTTTGTGTGTGGTGTTTTGGGGGAACTCGCTAAGCTTTATGCTTACCCAATTGTTGTTGTTTTCCAGGTATCATTGGTTCATGGGAAGGTGAAGGCGTGACTGTACACACTCATAAACTACATTGAGGATTCCGCGTTATTATATTACTCTGATTTTTGATATATGTAACTTGGAATAAATGGTTTCTCTTAAAAATGGATTTATAATTGGGAAGTTTACTGTAACAAAAATGAAAAATTTTGGTGGTGAAAATGGGACGTTACAGAAGGCCAAGGATCGAGCCTATTAGCTTACGACCGAAGAGGCCAGAGCAGCGCCTGATGTTGTTACTGGTATGTATTTATTTATTTTCCTATTGATCTTTCCATATTTTATGCTTATGTTTATGTTTGTGACTAAGTACGTTCCTAGTTAATTCATTGCATGTGCTAGTATTCTTTGACTTTGGTCCGAGTTGATCCTTCATATCATTTTCATTCAGTAGGAGCTTCGATGTTGCTCTGGGAGCACTTGACCGTCCATTAGAGGTCACTATACTCAATAATCGTATGGTTTCAGCTTTGATGGTTTATCGTGACTGTGTGATGGAGATTTTCAAGGTGAGATTCTCGATTGATCTTATTCTCATTCCTATGGGCGAGGTCAGTGTGATTGTAGACATGGATTGGTTGAGCCGATTTGTGGCTCTAATTGATTGTGAGCGGCAGTTGGTGGTAGTTTGAACCCCAAGTAGGGAAGAGCTTACCATCCATGGTGAGGGTGCCAGAGTTAGATCGACTTTCTGCTCCGCCACTAGGGCTAGGAGATATTTACAACATGACTACACGAGATTCCATGTATATGTTGTCGACACTCGGAATGAGAAGAAGGAGTCAGTTTCAGAGGTACAAGTGGTTTGCGAGTTCCCCAACGTTTTCCCTAAGGATTTGTCGAGTGTGCCTCCATAGAAGCGTGTCGATTTTAGGATTGATTTGATTCCGGGTGCGACTTTGATAGCCAAGGCATCATATCGTTTTGCACGACCTGAGATGCATGAGTTGTCCACTCAACTTCAGGAGCTGTTGGCCTAAGGACTTTGTTCAATCAAACAGTTTGCCTTAAGGAGCATCGATTTTGTTTGTCAAGAAAAAAGATGTTTCACACAGGATGTGCATTCACTAATTTCCAAGGCTCTAAAAAGCTTGTCATGACACGTCATGGCTTCAAGGTTTGTAGTTGACGACATGTTTTAGCAAAATGTCGTCTTAAGCCATATATGTATATAAAAATGAATAATATTAGAAAAAATATATAGAATTATTAATTATATACAAAATTGTCGCCTTACAAACGATGTGGCTCGCCACGGCTCGTAAAAACTTAAAACGTTACCGTCAAGTCACATCTAATATTATTTAGAACATTGCTAATTTCTCTAATAAAATTAATAATTGTTAAAATCTATAAATTTGCTGAGCTTAAATTGAAAGTGTGGACTTTTTGAGTTGTCATTTATAAACTCAAAAAAGTTATTTATTTATTATTTATATAATTATTTATATAATATATAAAACACGATAAAATATAAAATAAATAAATAATTTAATTAACCAAATTGTATTTATTTTAAAAACAAAAAAGCAGTATTCATAAGTTAGATGCAAATATGCAACACATGACATCTTTTTCCACATAAAGTTAATAGTAGTAGCATCTTGTCTTGTTACATTTTTTAAAAGAAGATGTTCCCAATAAATAAGTATCCAAAGATCAACATTTTATTTTCTCAACAAAAAAAGACCACCTCATGGATCATGTGACATACACAAAATCATGTCCATTTTTATAAACCCCCTTTTATAAACAATTAAATAAATATTAGCCATCATGTTTTCCTTATAAAACTCATATTTTTTTCGTAGTAACTTTTAATATAGTATGCTTGTTTCTTCATAAACAAAATATATATCTTATTGAACATATTTAATAAAAATTAATCTTCCATTTATTATCTATCTCTAAGTAATCTTGTACCAACCTACCAATATAAACCTTTATACCTTAATAATACTTGTTCATAAGGTTTAAGATATAGACTCTTTGTGCATTAAGTTTGTACCTTGCATTTTCTTTTGATTATTCAACCATTATTATTCCAAAAAAAAATTAATAAATGGATAACAAATAAATAAGTTACATCTTATACTTAAGGTTATCGTTAAAAAGTCTCATTATTTTGTCATGGAAAAGTATTAACTTTCATTTTTTTAACAGAAAAATCATTATTATCTAATATTTTTCCCAAATTATCAAAAAATTATTTATTTTTAATAGAATATGAAAGGTTATCACATAAAATTAGATAATAAGGACTATTTTGTTCAAAAAATAAAAATTAAGACTTTTCTATAAACTATGACAACATAATAAAACTTTTATAACAATACTCCTATATACTTATACACAAAAGTCTTTTCATCTAACAACATATTTACACCATGACAAGAAACATACCTAAATAGATGAATATAATCCAACCAAAATTGTAAAATATGATTATTTTATACCAAAACATATGAAAAAAGAATGTCAAATATTCTATTTCCTCAACTAAAATAACAAATTCGGCTTATGCCGTAATGTAAAATGACGATCAAAGCATCTTTATGTGTTACTTCTGGCCGACAATCTTCCTACCCATCGGCTCCTCATTCGTTATATTTTTTCCATAACTTTTTTCCCAAAAATAATGTTTACTCCATAACCTAAAAAAAAAAAAAAAATCAATAATTTCCTTTTTCCCTATCTTGATTGTAATCAAACCATTTTAGCCGCTCAAGGATTCATGATATTCCATAGCTCCTAAGTAAGAAGCAAACTTGACAAACTAAACCCTTCAGATAGAAAAACTTTGCACTTTGGTCCTTCCAATTTTTGTGTTTCTTTGACCAATCCCATGTAGAGATATTTCCAAATAGGCAGATACTACCAAAAGAAGAATTCTTTTCTAGAATCTTGCATTTTTCTTTTCTTTTTTTCTAACTTTAGATTTTTTTTTCTCAAAAACCCACTTTAATAATCTCTTGCCCACGTCACCCAATTTTCATCTGCAAGTCAATAACCATCAATTAATATCATAGCCCAAAATGTACAACTTTTAATGCACAAGGTACAAGTTTTAATAGCATCATTGCTCGATTTTACCTATAAAAAGAAAGATGCATGAACAAAGTGTTGTTGATGTTGGAAAAGAGCACACCTTACAAATTACAATCAACATATTACATCACCAAATCTTGGTTCCAAGGAGATTGGAAAATAGTGGCATTTTTGTAATTTCTGTTAACCTGTCAACAATGGCAAACAACATAGTACGAATATTTGAACTCAAGAAAATAAAAAGTTGCAAACTTTAGTTTGATACTTATTGTGCATGAATGGAGAAATTTGAATCAAAGTACTCTAATATGATTAAACTCATGAAAGGGGCAATATGGTAATTCCGTTCACCAATTATCAAGATCTCAAATGTATCATTTCTCGCAAAATTACCATTTCAACCTCGAGGAATGAGAAAACTAGAAAAATGAACCCCTTTCTTAACAATTCAAGAAAATTCCCAAGAATTTATCTAAAAACACAAAAAAGATTGAATTTTTTGATCATAGATTCCAATGTGATTTAGAAGATGAAAGAATTTAACAAACTCATGAAAAGGGCAATATGGGAATTCTGCTCTCTAATTATCACCATTAGTAAATTACCAACAACGCTACAATCTCATAAGTCATAACTTATCAAACAAGGTGGTTTCTTGCAAAATTACCAATTTAACCTCAAAAAAAAAATGAGCCCTAAAACTAAAAACAAATACCAAACAAAATTCCTGCATAAACTAATAATAATATAATCAAAAAACACAAAAAAAGATCCGATTTTTACGGAGATGAAGCATCAAACAAAACCTCATTAAGCATATCATCCTCACCATTAGCCACTGCAAAAAATTCTGCATCTTTTTCATCATCATTTGAGAAATCCCTTTTTTCAACCCTAGAATGAGCAGCAATAAAGATCAATTTCTGAGCTTTTTCCATTCCACTCCTCGATTGAGCCCATTTCAAGAAAGACCAATTCCATTTAAACCCACATGACGTGGCATGAAGAAAAATCAACCTCACTGCAACTTTCCTCAAAGAATTAAACTCTGTTAAATAAGTTTCCCAAACTAACCTGCTACTTTGTGGATTAGCGATTTTCATTTTACCCGAAATGGGGTCTCTTTGTTTTAATTGAACAGCTTGCGCATACACTGGATCTAGCCCTTCTGTTCGCCATTTCATGAGCTCCATTAATGCGATATGAGCTTCTTGTTGGGATACGAGACGTGTTATGAGTTTGTCTACGTCTTTTTCTTGATCGGGAGTTAAGCATTTGAAAGGTGGTAAATACTTCCCTGTTCTATCTCGGATTAGATAGAATGGGTCGAGGATGAATGCGGCAGCCCAAGCGGGGTGATAGTTTCTCTTAAACCTTTTGTCGAACACTTTGTCGACGTGGGTTTCGTTCATCTGAAACTTTAAGCACCAGTCTTTGAGTTTCACTCTGAGTTCTTCCCATAGTGGTAGACATTGCCCGATTCGTGGTCTTTCCTTTGAGATTTCGTGAGCCATGGATTTAATTAGCTTGACTAAGGAATGAACGGCTTCGATTTCCCTCCAAAATTGGGGATTTCGGATTGTTTCTTCAATCTCCCTCGCGAGTTGGTTTTCCATTGATAGTTTTTGGTAACTATCGTCGAGTAAAACCAATTGTAATGTTCTTGCGGAGGTTAAGATGTCTTCCACCATGTTAAACACGGGTTCGAATTCGAATTCGATTTCACTGGCTTTGAATGGAACTCGGAGCAATCTGGCTCGCCCGGATTCTTGAAACTGATATTTGAGAAAAGAATTTCTAATTTGAGATGTGGTATTCACGAAATTTGCTAGTTTAAAACAATTATCTGTCACGGACTTGAACAATGGTAGCTCCTTGTTAAAATCTTTAATCAAACTGTTAACTCCTTGAAACTGACAAGAGAGATTGATCATCCATTGATGTTGGTTTTCGAGATTCTTTAACGCTTTTGATTTGAATTTATCAGAAACAATGCCCACGCATTGTGGTAAATTATTCCCACAAATTTCAATGATCGTTTCCATTAAAACATCCTCTGCATACTTTGAAAATACATACCCATTTGTAAAAACAGCTCTTCGGAAAACACTTGTTCCATTCGGTAAATTCACAGATAAATTCACCAACTTTTCACCTGGTTTTGATTTCCATCCATCTGATGAAATTTGGAAGAACATTGCGTCTCGAATTCGAGCTTCTGATTCAGACTTCGCATTTTGGTACTTGGAATCCAGTCGTTCGCCGGCAAGTTCCCGGCGGGAGATTACCGGTAACCCGAGTTGATTCAAGAAAGTTTTGAATTTTGGATGATTTAAACTCGAAAACGAAACTGACCCGCAATTTTCATACACCCAATCTGTTAATAATTCGAGCGATGAATCGATTTGTGATTTCGTCAACGTTTGACCAGGTGATGTTTTTGGAGATTTTAATTTCTTCACACTATCTTCAAACATCGCTAAAGCACCCAAATCTTCTTTCCCACCTGATAACATCATATGTTGCTGCTGATGGTGGTACTGATGGTGATGCTGAGAGTACAACCCACTACTGCTTACAGCCATAACAGCCGGCGACGTCGACGTCGACGGCGCCGGCAATGCCGACGTCGACGGCGCCGGCAATGCAGGCATTGACTCAGGTCGGGTTGGGTACGACCCCTCGATTAAGAATCTTGCTGGTTCAATCATTGTAATCGGAGCAACCGAGTATGTCGTGGGAGGATTGGTGGCCCTGTTACGGTTGCCGGAGTTACGTTTGCGGTGGTTCTGCGGCGGCTGAGGCGAGGACGACGACGTCGGAGACGATAAATTCATCATTCCAGTTGGTGAAATGGAGGAAATCGGTTTTGGGTTAGAATCAGAGTTGAAATTTGGACAAGTTCCTCTTTTCAGATGCTCGGAGGCTGTTCTTGATGGATTTGAAGCGGAGAAAACGGCACCACATAAACAGCACCGGAGCTTGACGGCTTTTGGTAAACCGGTGTCGGGATTATGAGCAAGAATCGGCTCTAAATGAGCCCAATACCAAGCTCCTTTCCCTTTAATCGCTTTCGTACGAACCATCACAAGCCCTTCATATCGTTTATGAACAATCTTCGCCGCAGACTCATCCGTTGACTCCGGTACTGGGGGTGGTGGAGGTGGTGGTGATTGTTGGGGACTGGCTGTACTGGTCGACGCCGCCATTATTACCGGAAAAGGTTCAAGATTTCTTGATTTTCCGACAAAATATTTACTTGAATGAGGAAAATATTTTTGTGGGTATGTGTGAAAATGATATGTCAAGGAGGGGTATGTTTGAAAAACAGTGTCTTTTGTTTACCTCCTAGCATTATTTTTAGCCGGAGTAAGAAGTGTGGATGGAAGGTGGCCGGAATTCGAAGAAGTGGCGGAGGTCCATGGTCGCTCCGGTGATTTGAAGGTGGGTTGTTTTAGAATTTTGATGTAGTTGTTGGGAGGAAGGTTCTTTGTGTTTGGAAGAGAGAGATGAAGAAGGAAAGTGGGAGGGGGAGTGTGAGTCAAATAAAGGTTGTTTTTTGTTTAGTTTATTTTTGTTTTAGGACACATTTTAATCAACTTACATCTAATTAGTCTTGCAATGTTTTAATAAAATTGATTTTTGTTTTTTGTTTTTCTGTTTTTGATTTTGTTTTTGAGCTTGAGAATGCAACTAACCATTAACAATTATATTGTACATATTTTGGTTGTTTTTTTCTTGAAGGGGTAATCCCTGAAATATCAAATAACAAGATCTTCTATGAGTGAATAATTATATTTTTCATAGATATTACAAAAGATGGTTTTCTCTCGCATCCTATTTTTTCTTTTGGAAATGAAACATTTCTTTGAAGGTTTCGGGTCAGTTTTCACGCACTGATGAATTCTCCGTTGTAAATATGAACACTACAAGAAAAACACGATTTTGCTATGGAAGGGCGCTATGGAACGTATTTCCGTTGTTATTCTGCAACGGTTTGTGCTATGGAATGTCGTTTCATAGCTAATTTGCTACCACAATTTCTACGTAATTAATTTTCCGTAGCAAACATGTGAATTGCTACGGAAACTGTTACCACCTCGAAATCCGTTGCTATATTGCTACCAATATTTCTATGGAAAAACCATTCATAGCAATTTTGCAACGAAATTTGTTACGAAAATACTTTCCGTTGTAATTCTGCTGCGAAATTAAAAATCGTTGTTAATCTACAACGGAATTTTTCAACGGAAAAACATTTCATAGTTGTTTTGCTATGGAAGTAGCATTCATAGCTATTTACCTACGGAATTGTGCTACGGAATTGTAAAATATGTGTTGTTGAAGAATATTATGTTCAAATAAAAAAAAACTACTACATTCGTTGGTGAAAACTTTCTTATATGTGGACAATAACCACCATACATACAGTACATATACAAGTACATATACAGGTAATTACATTTATATTTGTGTGAAAAATATAATATGAGCAAAAGTATAAACATTTATGGGCAAAAAGCTACATAATATGGGAAAAAGTATAAATATATATGGGCAAAAAACTACTTTTTAAAGTAAAAATGTTTTCAATTTTGGAGAGTCATATCACTAACAATTTTGGTGGTTATATATGTCCACTATATTTATAATAGTCACACCGTGAAATATTCATGTGGCTATTACTTAGAGCAAAAATGAGCAAAAACGGTTATCATTAAATTTGATATTAGTCGATATACATAACTTAACCACTTAAAGTATGATTATATTCTTAAGTAAGTTATTCATGCAAGTGTAAATGGTGTAAATGATATTTATAGAGAATAATGATTCTTCATTAAAATGACTTTAAAAGGTCCTAAATTTTTTTTTTAAATAAAAAAGTCCAGAAAACCGGCTAGTTTCTTCAATTTAGTCCTTTTTTTACCCTTTTACCAGGTAAACACCTATATGGCATATCAAGTTGGAAGGGATTGCTGACATGGCAGCTAATGTGGCATGACATGTCAACCAAAATGCATGCAGACTTAAAAAAATGGGATTTTTTGAGAAAAGACTTAGATGGGGTTCGAACTCATGACCTCAATATCCCAAACATTGGTATTCCCCAACTAGGCTAAAAGTTGTTAACGTTTTTTATGCTGAACAATTATATATAATACCTACCAAATTTCTTTGCTTAATAAAAATAAGATTTCGGATAGGATAAAAATGACCTTGGGAAGGGTCGAACTTACGACCTTACCATCCAAAATCTAAAGCCTACCGATTCATCTAGATGCCTTTTCATATGTTTGTCCTTTACTATTGTAATTATTGTATACCGTTCCGAGGATTTAATACAATTATTACTATTATTGTTATTATTAAAAACGAAATTAAATATATATATTTTTTAAATTCGTTTTAAGGAATATTATTAAATAAACACATATGTAAATTTTAAAAAAAACACATTTATATGTATAAAAACATATTTATACATAAAAGATACGTATAAATGTAATAAATACATATAAAAACATATTTATATGCTTTTATACCTTAAAAAGGTTTTTTTTTTTTACTTTATACAGAAAAAATATTTATACTTTGAAAAAATATTTATACATATAAAAACTTTTTTAAAAATATTGGGACTTTACTGTAGTTATCCCTTTAGGAAAAGAGTAGAAATATAGAGAATGAGGGGAGAATGGTGAAGGATAGCCACGTAAATTGCGGGAATAATTTGGGAGAAATTTTGGGGATATAGATAAACATTTTAAATTAGAAGTATATTAAGGTCGGGATTGTAGGTCATAATAAGCTGGTGAGTTATAATAAGGTGATATAAGATCAATACAAATGACTTTTGATGTCTCTATCCATTTTAATCCTTTTTTTCGAAGTCCATAGAAGCAAAATCCTTAGAATAGAAGCCTGAGCATAGATATATATTACAGAGAATTAGAAGAGACGAGATGACAGAGTAGTCGATTTTGATTTATACTGAAATAATGAAGGTCAAAAACAAATCAGAAATTAGGAAAATTGAAATTACTATTTAAGAAACACGGTGGCGCCGATTGGAGCTGAAATATTGTTGACAGGCACAACGTGGAGAAGGGCCGTCCACTGTTTGTATACAGCAGATAGTCCAAGAGGAAAATCTATTAGGTTAAGATAAATAAAAGGAAAATAAAAAAAGTTTTAAGAAAGATAGAAAAAGAGAAGTAGATTACTTTGAGTGGTGAGGGAAATCAAGATCGTTGAAATTAAAGGAGGGAAATCAAAATTGGTGAAATTAATGGAGGGAACTTCTAATTATTATAGTTATTAATTACGTGGAAAAACATAAAATTAAAATTTAACATATGATTATAAATTTAATGTCATTACCCTTAAACCCTAACCCATATGACTTAATGTCATAACCCTTATTCCCTAACCCATGTAACTTACCCACAAACCCTAACCTATGTGACTTAATGCCTTAACCCTTAAACCCTAGCCTATATGACTGAATGTCATAACCCTTATACCCTAACCCATGTAACTTACCCTTAAACCCTAACCCATGTGACTTTATCTCTTAACCCTTAAACCCTAACCATATGACTTAATGTCATAACCTTTATGCCCTAACCCATGTAACTTACCCTTAAACCCTAACCCATGTGACTTAATGACTTAACCCTTAAACCCTAGCCTATATGACTTAATGTCATAAACCTTATACCCTAACCCATGTAACTTACCCTTAAACCCTAACCCATGTGACTTAATCCCTTAACCCTTGAACCCTAACCCATATGACTTAATGTCATAACCCTTATGCCCTAACCCATGTAACTTACCCTTAACACTAACCCATGTGACTTAATGCCTTAACCCTAGCCTATATGACCTAATGTCATAACCCTTATACCCTAACCCATGTAACTTACCCTTAAACCCTAACCCATGTGACTTAATCCCTTAACCCTTAAACCCTAACCAATATGACTTAATGTCATAACCGTTATGCCCTAACCCATGTAACTTACCCTTAAACCCTAACCCATGTGACTTAATGCCTTAACCCTAGCCTATATGACTTAATGTCATAACCCTTATTCCCTAACCCATGTAACTTACCCTTATACCCTAACCTATGTGACTTAATGCCTTAACCCTTAAACCCTAGCCTATATGACTTAATGTCATAACCCTTATACCCTAACCCATGTAACTTACCCTTAAACCCTAACCCATCTGACTTAATCCCTTAACCCTTAAACCCTAACCCATATGACTTAATGTCATAACCCTTATGCCCTAACCCATGTAACTTACCCTTAAACCCTAACCCATGTGACTTAATGCCTTAACCCTAGCCTATATGACTTAATGTCATAACCCTTATTCCCTAACCCATGTAACTTACCCTTATACCCTAACTTATGTGACTTAATGCCTTAACCCTTAAACCCTAGCCTATATGACTTAATGTCATAACCCTTATACCCTAACCAATGTAACTTACCCTTAAACCCTAACCCATGTGACTTAATCTCTTAACCCTTAAACCCTAACCCATATGACTTAATGTCATAACCTTTATGCCCTAACCCATGTGACTTACCCTTAAACCCTAACCCATGTGACTTAATGCCTTAACCCTAGCCTATATGACTTAATGTCATAACCCTTATTCCCTAACCCATGTAACTTACCCTTATATCCTTACCTATGTGACTTAATGCCTTAACCCTTAAACCCTAGCCTATATGACTTAATGTCATAACCCTTATACCCTAACCCATGTAACTTACCCTTAAACCCTAACCCATGTGACTTAATCCCTTAACCCTTAAACCCTAACCCATATGACTTAATGTCATAACCCTTATGCCCTAACCCATGTAACTTACCCTTAAACCCTAACCCATGTGACTTAATCCCTTAACCCTTAAACCCTAACCCATATGACTTAATGTCATAACCCTTATGCCCTAACCCATGTAACTTACCCTTAAACCCTAACCCATGTGACTTAATCTCTTAACCCTTAAACCTTAACCCATATGACTTAATGTCATAACCCATATTACATTTAAAAGTTAGTAATTTAAATACAAAATAATAAGAAATATATTATAAAATAAAAATAATATAATAAACAAAATTATTAATTAAAAAATTAAATATTTATTTGTCTAAATTTAAGATATGTAGTTTTTAT